AGTCGTGATCCCGCAGGAACACCGGGGAGGTTGGTGCTCGCAGCTGGCGTCCCACACCGAGATTTGGAAAGCTGAGTCAGGAGGATTACCTCTGTCTTTAACAAAAAAAGAACAAACTACTGGGTACCCTAGACCTAGTCAAGCTGTCCATTCTCCTGCCGAGGACCAGCGTCGCGCATTTGCATTTTCAATCCAGCAGAGCTGGCTGTCACCGTTGCTCTGTGAGGAAGGGCTTTGCGAGGGCAAGCGAGATGGCTCAGTGGGTAAGGGAGCTTGCTGCCAAGCTTGATGAGCCGAGTTCGACCCCCCAGGACCCACAGGTTGGAAATCGAGAGCAGACGGACATTCACACGTGTGCCTTGGCCACGGGTCTCCACACACAAACTAATTAAACAAAATTTTCTAAAGAGCTGCATTTTCCTTATTTGCAAATGGGAGGAGAGAGCTCAACACTAAGTGCCCAGTAAATGCAGGGACCAGAAAACAGTCAGGCTGACCTACTTATTTAAATTAATTAAGTACGTGGGTGTTTTGCCTGCAGGTCTGTCTGTGTACTATGTGTGCCTGGTGCCCATGGAGACAGAGGGGCATTGGATCCTCCGGAACTGAGGTTGTGAGCCTGTACGTGGAAATCAAACCAGATCCTCTGCAAGCACAGGCAGGGCTCTGAATAATGGCTGAGCCATCAGCAGGCCCGATCTAGTTTTGTTCACACTCCTTTTGAGCCAATGCTTCCCTATGTGGCCCCTGCTGACCTAGAACTGGCCATCCTCCTGCCTCAGCCTCCCATACCAAAGTGAGGCTTGTCTGGGTGCACTGTGTAGCCTTGTTGGAGTGCACCATGTAGCACAGTTCAAAGAAAGCACTCCAACTTGAAATTTTAAGACCTATGCAGCAGCAGAAAGGCCCAGCCTCTCTGATGACTGAACCCCAAACAGATGTACAAAGGTGTATTATTACACAAAATATTTCCTCACACCAAGGTCCCTAACCTAAGTTATGAGTCTTACTAAGAGAGAACATCTCATGCCCCCATGACTCTAGTCCTTTACTGTGTATCGTTTGCAATACACAATAATACAAGAGCGTCAGGTGTGCCTGAGGTGACTTGTGACTAGGGATGGCAGCAATGCCCCTTCAGCAAAACAATCGCTGTTGTCCACACAGATTCTTCACGGTCAAAGTGCTTCTACGAAACAACTGTTCATTCTAATGTCCACCCCAGAAACAGTGACTCTGCTAAAATCCTACAACAGAGCCCACCTCCCACCAACTGCCATTTTGTTTTCCATGAATGGAGAAAATGGAGTGGAGGGGACGGGGAAGGGGCTCCAGGTTTGCCTTCCTCTTCTGGGGCACCCATCACAGATCCCCATCCTGGAATTCTGGGTGGTGATTGCTCATGGTGAGGCCACATGGCTGGCTACACAGGTCCAATCAGGTCAGGGTACTGAGACACCACTACAACAGTTTGGTATGGTGGGGTGATAAGTGTCACTCCAACCCACTTTCCACTTGGAGTTGGCACTCTTGGGTGTCCAGGAGAACCCCAAAAGTAAACACTTTCTGTGGAAGCCACACCAGTCTCACCTGCATGTTCCTTGTCTCTGGAGGACTTCCTGAAGGAAAGGACATCTGGGGTGGGTTCTGTAGGGTGAAGAGGAGTCTGCAGAGCATAGTTAATAACAGCCTGAGGGAGCTCACAGCCCAGTCACTATGGCTGTGGTGTCAGGGCACCCAGATGGATACAGCCGAGACCGAAGCCAAGCACAACTGCTAGGTTCAGCGCCTTTTTTCTGTCTCAGTGAACCTAAAACGACCAGAGGACATGCCCAGAAGCCTCAGATTTTTATTCTGGTGACAAAGTGGTCCCAGGAAGAATGAATTTACAGCAGACACAGTAGGAGCGGGCATGGGTGCACAGAGTTCCTGAATGGTGCAGAAATGTCACAGGTCACACGGTGGCTTCACCCTCCCCAGCTTCCTCATCCTCCAGCAGGCTGTAGCTCGCGTGAGTCTGGCAGGGCCTCTGTAGCGGATGGGCCAACAGCTTGGCCATGCAGTTGTGCAGCTCAAGGGCAGGCCCAGCCAGTGCTACCTCATACTTGTAGCTGGTGCCCTTGGCGTCCAGGCTTCCCATGAAGGAGAACATGTCCTGTGGGGGCAGTGAGAGGCTGTTAGCATTGGCATTAGCCCTCAAAGGCCCTCCCTGTCCGTACAGGCCTTCCTAGAGGAAGGGGTATCTAGAGTGGGTGAAGAGGAGTTGCTCAGGTCAGAAACTATTACTGCAGTCAGCAAGCATCCCTAACATCCACCCAGTACCCAGGCAGGACCTGAGCTTCCATTTTGGGGACCCTTAGAAGCCCACAATGTGGGGCCAGGAGGTGGCTCGGTGAGTTAAGTGTCTGCTGTGCAAGCACTTGGACCTGAGTTCAAATCCCTAGGACCCATGGAAAGCTAAATGCATCAGGGCACATATTTAAACCCAGTCTACTCCCCCTGCAGGGAAGGAGGATCCAGAACTCAGGGGCCAGCCAGGGGTGGCCACAGTGGCAACAAGAGAAGGCCCCCACAGGAGGGCTTTTCACTCATGTTTTCTCTCTCTTCAAACAAGGCCTCATTCTGTAGCCCAGGTCAGCCTCCTGTGTCAGTGTCCTTGAGATAGAAATATCTATCCTGCAGGGCTATTTCTCCTTAGGCAGGACCCTAAACAACTCCAAACAGCTTCAGGAAGTCCCTGAAACTGAACAGATTCACTATGCCCCTCCCTGTCAGAGTAAGGAAAGTCCCTCAAAGACCAGCTGTCTGAAAGGAATTTAGACCAGAGTCACTAGAAGGGGACAGTCTCCAGTGTGCAGGCTATGCAGTGTGCTCTAGACTCCCAGTTCTGTGAACTGTCACCTGTGCTGAGGTGTGCTTTGGTGATGCAGCTGTCTGTGAGTCATTTCAGCTCCTGTTGGTGACCCCTGACCCTATTCCTGTAAGTAACACCAATAAATTCACTGGTTCACCAAGCTGGACTTTGTGGTGTCTGTACTTTGGGCTCTTTTCAGGACTGAGTGTTGTGTCTCTCCAGGAAAAGTCTTGTCACACAACATCCCCATCCTGTCACAACCCCTGCCTCAGCCTTTCAAGTATTCACTCACAGGCAGAGGGGCTGGGTTACAGGTGTGCATTTATGCAAGTCTGTGCATGGGTGTGTGCAGGAATGTGTGTGCATGTGCATTTGTGTGTGTGTGCACAAGGTGCTGTGTGTGTGTGTGCACAAGGTGCTGTGTGTGTTTGTACACAAGGTGCTATGTGTGTGTGTGCACAAGGTGCTGTGTGTGTGAATGTGTGTGTAGGAATGTGTGTGTGTGCACAAGGTGCTGTGTGTGTTTGTACACAAGGTGCTATGTGTGTGTGTGCACAAGGTGCTGTGTGTGTGAATGTGTGTGTAGGAATGTGCATTCATTGCAGATGTGTGTGTGTGTATGTGCTGAGTGCAGGTGTGCGGCGGTCAGAGTATAGTCTTTGGGTGTCATGCTCCCGCCGTGTTGGTTCAGGGACTGAGCTCATGTCCTCACACTTGCCTGCAAACGCCTTTAGCTGATCCACCTGGCAGTCTGTAAACTTAAGTTCACAGATGTCAGAGGCACACTCACAGTCACACGCAAGTCAGAGGTGAAGAAGCGTGAGACCTGGAGAGGTTGAGACGGAGGGTGCTTCAGGCACAGGGTACAACAGGGTAAAACCAGGAAAGGAGCTGGGTGCTAGGGATAGTGTGGGCTGGGCTGCTAAGGCCACAGCCTCCCAAGTCACCACCAGCGCAAAGGGGAAATGTAGGAAGCGGTTGCTAAGAGACTGAAGGACCAACCAAATGGCAGGGAGGGGCAGTGCATTCTGCACCCAACTCTCACCTTCCACCTCGTCTCCTCCTCCTTCTCCTCGGCGCCATTGTGGATGTAAATGATGTCGAAGAAGAAGTAGGGACATTGGAACATCTTCTGCAGGGAACGAGAGGGAGACTGGTGGGTGCCCACCACAGACAGCCTTCATGGTCCTGGGAAGTCCCCCTTGGTGTCTAACCACTGCTCTCCCTTCCCTCCAGGCTCACCTTCATGGGCTCAGTCAGGGAGAACTGGGGCTGGCAGGGCGGGCGGCTGTAGACCAGGATAGTGCGCACGACATAGGGGGGAGGGATGGTTTGCACGTTCTCTGTGACTGGCAGCTCGGTCTTCTGCTGGCTACAGAGGGGGAGGGGGAGGGTTCAGTACCCAGCTGCCTACCAGTCCTGGGTCAAACCCTTCCCATCACAACTGAACCCACAGGTCCCGTTCCTAGTGGCCCTGCATGTTAATGCAAAGCCAGGGCCGGGGAGATGGCTCCAGAGCTAGAGGTTAGAGGCATTTGCAGCCAAGAACCCGGACCCAAGAGGCAGAAGCAAAGAAAGGCTTTTCAAAGTCACCCCTGATCTCCACACAAGCGCCGTGGCACATATGCTTGCACAAAAATAAATGCACAATGAAAACATATATGAGACTTCTTTAAAGGCATTTTCAAAGGGAAAACAAATGTAAGGTCCACAGACGGACCCAGGGTCTTGACCCATGGCCCCACCCACTGGACGGCCTTGAGAGGCTGTCTGTCTGTCCCCACTTCGCTGGGGAAGGAACCCAAGGCCATGCCCCACTTTGGAGGCGCACTCACATGAGACTGAAGAGGCCTTCCAGATCTGGAGGGTCGCTAAGGACAAAGTGCCAGCTCGGGGACTGGGGCCTGCCCTGCCCTGGATCCTGGGAGATGACGGACACCCCTTTGGGCAGGCAGTGTGACCCCTGGGGTAGGCAGTGTGGCCCCTGGGGAAGTCACTGTGACCCTGGGGAAGGCTGTGACTCCTGGGGGCAGGCAGTGTGACCCCTGGGGTAGGCAGTGTGGCCCCTGGGGAAGGTTGTGTGACCCTGAGGAAGGCTGAGTGACCCTGGGGAAGGCAGTGTGACCCCTGGGTACGCAGCGTGGCCCCACACCTTCTTCTTTTCACACGTCATAAAGTGGATGCTGGCCTTAACCCCCCGCAGCCCCTCCAGGCTCCCTGCCCTGCACATCTCCACTGCTCCCTCAATTCTGGGGGAGTGCCCTCCATGTTAGAGGCTGCAGGCAAAAAGGCAAGGTTGTGGCTTTTCAGGTAAATGTCAGCATTAAGAAGCACTAACTGTATGCCAGCCCTGATTCAGTGACATGTTCCCTGGGTGCACCTGACACTCGTTGACACCCATCCCTCCTCTGCTCAGGATGGGTGCCAGGGATTCTATGAGCTTGGGTGCTGGGTGGCTTTGGAGTTTGGCATCACTGTGGATTAATAGCCAGATTCCTGTTGGTGCCCTTTTTTGCTGATTTTGTGGTTTTGAAACAGAGTCTGGCCTGTAACCTGCAATCCTCCAGCCTCAGCTTCCTGAGTGATGGGTTGATTCTCCCACACTACAACACCTGGCCCAGTGCTGGGTCTTGAATGTGACTCCTAGAAATGTCATACATGAAATATTCTATTTATGATCTCACTGGACAAAATCCCCGAGTCTGGCTGGGGCTGGGGTTCAGGTGTGAGAGTGCTTATAGCTCAGGAGCTAGGGTGCTTGTAGCTCAGGGGCTAGGGTGCTTGTAGCTCGGGTGCTAAGGTGCTTGTAGCTCAGGGACAAGGGTGCTTGTAGCTCAGGGGCTAGGGTGTTTGTAGCTTAGGGGCTAGGGCAGTTGCTTAGCATTCATGTAGCTGTGGATTCTTCTCCACCACACTGTTATCCCAGCACTTAGGAGGTAGAGGCAGGTGAATCAGGAGCTCAAGGCCATCCTTAGCTACACTATGAATTCAAGTCTAGCCTGGGCTACAAGAGAAATAGTCTCAAAAATTTATTATATACATAAATATACATAATATTTGATGTGGAGTGGTGATACACGCCTTTAATCTCAGCACTCGGGAGGCAGAGGCAGGTAGATCTCTGTGAGTTTGAGGCCAGCCTGGTCTACAGAGTGAGTTCCAGGACAGTCTGGGCTATACATAGTGAGACCTTGTCTGAATAAATAAATATTTAGAAATAAAGAATTAGGGGCATGATTCCGAACCATTGTCATTCTATTCTCAGGGTGCTGAGGCAGGAGTATCATGGATTTAGCCTGGGCAAGATCATGTGTCAAAACCCAACAACTAAGTCAGGCATTGGTAGCGCACGCCTTTAATCCCAGCCCTGGGGAGGCAGAGGCAGGTAGATCTCTGCAGTTCGAGACCAGCCTGGTCTACAAGAAAGAAAAAAAAGAAAGAAAACCCCAGCAACTATAGAAAAGTCCTGGTTTTAGATTCTGGATTGTTTGGACTCTGGACATTCAACCTGGGCTCTATGTTGGAGGTACCCCACAATACTACTGAGCCCCGTCACAGCACTGCTGATCTGGGGCCAGGAACAAGGATACTGAACGTGGAACAGGATGCTGTCTCCAGGTCGTACAGGCAGCTGCAGAGCTCTCGTGGGTCAGAGGTCAGGCCAGACAGCTGTGGGGAAGACAGGGCCTCAGGGCTGGGGCTCCCGGTCCTGAGGTCCCCAGAGGCCCTGTCTACCCCTAGACTCACCCAAGCAGAGTCGTCGTTCACTACAACCAGTGCAAACTCGTGGCTCTTGTCAATCTTGTGCTTTGTGCGCACAAACATCTCAACCATCTTCTGAGACACGTTCAGGGCGTTCGTCCTGGAGCTGGAAGTGGGGAGGGGGGGGAGACAGTGGCAGGGCTGGAATCAACTAAACCCAGGGGACTGTAATCCAGAGCCACTTCAATCTAGGCCACACCCCCCTGCTGGCAGCTTATGTAAAGGTCATGGAAGAAGGGACACTTGGTTTTGCCCACTTGCTCTCGCCCTCACTAGTAAGTCCATTCCTACTAAGCAGAGCCTACTTCTTCAGGACTGCAGCATACACTGAAGACCAGCAGAGACAGCCAGCCTCATGGACTGAACAACTACTGGATTCCGGGACCTTCCATTGGTAGACAGCCATTTCGAACTAGCTGGACCACAGCCTGCAAGCCACTCTAATAAATCCCGTGTGTGTGTGTGTGTGTGTGTGTGTGTGTGTACATATACAGATTCATTCTCTCAGTTTTGTTCTTCTAAAGAATCCTAATATAGCAAGTGAGCTCAAGCTCACCACCTAGTGTGGGCTAGCCTCAAACCTGCTGTGGAACCCAAACTTGCACCCAAATTACTGCATTTCCCAGATGGACCTTGAACTCCTGATTCCTCCATCTCCACCTCCCAGTGCTAGCATAGCAGGTGTGTGCCATCGCTCCTGTGGCCTTGTTCTTATCCTTTACAGGGCCCCGAGACCACTCCAAATGTGACACCTCACACCCCAGCTCCTGGGAGCACACCGAGCTCAACAGCTTCTATGAGAACTGACAGTGACCTGTCCCATCAAACTGAGCGCCCCACCAGCCACCCAGGTCCTTGGCTCCTAAGAGTGTCACACATATGGACAGAAGCCTAGAAGGCCATAGCCCTGGAACTGGGTCATGGACACCTGTACCCTCTGCATTCTGAGCTATCCATGACCACACAACACCGCCATTACCCATTAAAAGACTCCAGTTTTGGCACAGACATCTCCTCTGAAAGATCCAAACAGATGATCTGAAACACAGAAGACAGAGTACAGGACAAAACCAGACAGAGCTAAGACAGCTAGGGTGGGAACCAGCCTGCAGTGTCTATGAGGGGCTGAGGGTGTGGCTCAGGGGAGGAGCCCCTGCCTAGAATCTCCCAGTGAGGGCTGGGGGCGTGGCTCAGGGGAGGAGCCCCTGCCTAGAATCTCCCAGTGAGGGCTGGGGGCGTGGCTCAGGGGAGGAGCCCCTGCCTAGAATCTCCCAGTGAAGGGCTGGGGACACGTGTGGAGGTCCAGAGGCCACAAAATAAAAAAAAAGAAAAAACCAAGAATCTAAATTCAGGGATGTTTAAGCCATCAACTGTGTGGGCTCTTGGAACCTGTAGGGAAATAAGGCAGGCAACTTAGAGAATCTCATAGAGCCAAAGTGGCCTACTGAGGCACCCCATCCCCTGCATCCCCAGTCAAGACACCCACATACCACCTTCTCTGGACAGTTGACCCGTGGTGTTCGAATCTGGACCTCGGGTGCCGGTGCTGGTACTTGCCAGGGCTTGGGCCCAGCTCCTGGGACACTGGCTGCCCCATCCTCTGCACTGGCTGCCTCACCCTCACCCTCGCTGCGACTGCCCACATTGGCCTGAGCTCCCAGGGCCCGGTCCTCCGCCCCCTCAGGGTTGGAGCGAGTGTGAGGCCGGGGCTCAGGAGTCGGCTCCTCCCCTTCTTCCTCCTCCTCCTCTTCCTCCTCCTCTTCCTCTGTGGGGCTGTTGGCCTCAGCCACCTCCATGGCTGCTGGGTGCTTGGATGGAGAGGGGATCGCGGAAGCCAGGATCCTGCTTTAAGAGTTTTAAAAAGCGATGAGAAGCCAGAAACTGAGCCATAAGCTCCTTGCCTCGAAGGAGGCTCTGATGGCTGCAGAATGGCTCCCTTAAGAGTGAGGCCAGGAACCAAAATAAATAACAGCTTTCTTGTTTTCTTTCTTGTTTGTGACACAGTTTCATGAAACTCAGGCTGGCCTCCAACTCACTGTATGACTTAGGATGACCTGGTACTCCTGACTCTCTGCATCCACGTTCTGTGTGCGGGGGAGGGGGGGTGCACCACCATACCTGGTCTACGTGTGCTGGAGATGGAAACCCAGGGCCTCATTCATGCTAGGCAAGCATTCCACCCACTGAGCTACAACACTCCACCCACTGAGCCACCACACTCCACCCACTGAGCCACCACACTCCACCCACTGAGCTACCACACTCTACCCACTGAGCCACCCACTGAGCCACCACACTCTACCCACTGAGCCACCACACTCTACCCACTGAGCCACCACACTCTACCCACTGAACCACCATACTCCACCCACTGAGCCACCACACTCTACCCACTGAGCCACCACACTCCACCCACTGAGCCACCACACCCCACCCACTGAGCTAACACACTCTACCCACTGAGCCACCACACTCCACCCACTGAGTACCACACTCTACCCACTGAGCCACCACACCCTACCCACTGAGCTACCACACCCCACCCACTGAGCTACCACACACTACCCACTGAGCTATCACACTCTAACGACTGAGCCACAAGCATTCTACCAAATGAGCTGTGCCCAAATCTTAGCTTTCCACTTCTTGCAACAGGGCAAACACCGTCCCCGCCCTTCACTGGCCACCGGGAATACTGAGGTGGGTATTGACCCAGTAAGGCCTTCGGTGGCTACCGCACCTGACAGTCCCAAAAGACAGGGGTGGAAAAGAGACTTAATTGGTTTGCCGAGTGAGAGGACACAGTTGACAGCTTCTCAGAGCTCCTCTTCCCCGGGGCGGCCAGCGTCTAGGCGAACACCTGAGCCACTTTTGGACGCCCGGGTCCAGCTGTGCCTGAAGCCTTTCCTGAGCGCCCCGCTTGCCTGGCTGGCTCTGGCGAGCCTGTGTCTGGGTTCCCGCCACCCGCGGCTACGGCTACCGCGCGTGGGGGACCGGGCCGTGCACGAGGGAGGGCGCTCCCGCGGGTGATCAGGTCCTGGGGCAGCAGGAAGCCCAAGTCGCCGACCGTGCAATGATGCGCGTTTCTCGGGGTGGCGACTCAGGACTCCGGAGCCCCCACCTCCTCAAGCAGAACGAACCTGGAACTGCAGCAAGCCGGATCGATGTCCGACCACAACGACAAAAAGCTCGCACGAGATCACACCGCCAGGTTCCACTCTGCAACCTAGGAACCACAGCCAGTCAATCACAGGGTTCTAGGAAGCCGCCATCTTCCTGACCGGAAGTTTGCACGGTGCTGCCGTAACGTCTTCTGGGAAATGTAGTTCAATGGCCCCGGGATCCTGGGGGTGTGCCTTAGAGCACACTGGCAGGAGTGGGGCTGAAGTGGGGTAGTGTTAGGGATGGGTGTGACAGAACGGGGTTGACTGAAGCAACACTACACTTGTCAAGGCTTCTGCTGAGATAGGACAGGAGCCGACCTGGGCGGGGCTGATTGGTGATTGACGCGGTGGGACTTGACGTGGATTTGCGTCATGTATTTCTGCTTCGTCTTTTACATATGTTGGCACTCACCAATACCATCGCGATGGGGGCTGGGGAGCACACTTGTCATCTCCGCACTCCAGAGGGCAGAAGATGACGTCAGGTGTTAGGCTAGCCTGGGCTATACGAGACACTTCTAAAAGCCAAAATGGAAAGGAAAAATAAAGAAAATCCCGCAGATACCGTGGACAGGCTCCTTGTCCCGGGGGAGCTTTCCGGCGCCAACAGACGGTGCTCTGCTTGAAGAAAACCGTTGTGGGTCGGAGAGCAGGTGCGGCCACCACCACGCCTGACCGAGGGAGAGGATCGATCCCACGAGTGCTTGCAGCTCACCCACCACAGACACAAATAGATAGAACAAAGTAATGAAAAATAAAATTTATTCCAATGTTGGAGCCCACGCCTACAGGTTTGTTATTTTTAATTTTAGAAACACACACAAAGAGAGAAACAGAGAGAGAGAGAGAGAGAGAGAGAGAGAGAGAGAGAGAACAGAGAGACAGAGACAGAGAGGAAACACACAGACACACAGAGAGAGAGAAACACACACAACAGAGAGACAGAGACAGAGAGGAAACACACACAGCGAGAAAGAGAAACACACACACGACAGAGAGACAGAGACAGAGAGGAAACACACACACACACACACAGAGAGAAACACACACAACAGAGAGACAGAGACAGAGAGGAAACACACACAGAGAGAAAGAGAAACACACACACGACAGAGAGACAGAGACAGAGAGGAAACAGAGAGAGAGAGAAACAGAGAGAGAGAGAGAGAGGCAGAGAGAGAAACGCAGAGAGAGAGACAGAGACAGAGAGGAAACACACACACAGAGAGAGAGAGAGAGAGAGAGAGAGAAACACACACAGAGAGAGACAGAGACAGAGAGGCAGAGAGAGAAACGCAGAGAGAGAGACAGAGACAGAGAGAGTAACACATACACACACACACACACAGAGAGAGAGAGAGAGAGAGAATGAGAGAGAGAGAGAGCTTACAGTAAGAGTGAGCCCTGGTGAACCTGGGGATGGACACTGAGAAACCCTGAAATGGAAACAGAGAAAGGGACTGCAAGTTTGGGCTGGGCTGTTAGCCTGGAGTGGCACAAGGGTCCCAATTCTCCATCCTGTCCACATTCTGGAGGAAGCTGACATCCTGAAGAAGGAAACAAGACAATAACTCTCCATGTGACCAGGGCAGGAGGCTTCCTGTTTCTCAGCCCCTCCCAGGCCAGCCTTGGCCAGCACAGCCTCAGCAGCCAGTGGCCAGGATGACCTGAGATGTGCCCAGGCACTCAGGCCTTTCCCAAGGTGCCCTGGAGCAGAGGAGAGGGTGGAGCCCCCCACTCCCAGGGGAGGGAGCTTGGTGCTAGGAGAGTCCTGGGAGGAGAGCAGATTCTTGGGGTCCCTATCCCATACCTCCATAGGGGAGAGAGGGGGACACTGATGAGGGAAAAGCACCAGAGAAGGGGGCAAGAGGTTGGGGCAAATAGACAGGCAATGGGCACCATCGGAGAGGTATCCAAATGTTCTGTCAGTGCAGTTGACCAAAAATTCCTAGGGTGAAAACCGAATGATACGGGGAGACAAAGGGAAGATCTGAGAGCGGGCTGTAACCAGGGGGTTAAAGAGGCAATGAGCGCCCGGGCCACTAGGCCCCGAAGCCGCCGAGGGAGGCATCCTCAGCCTGTAAGTGTGCCCCTCTTCCTGCTTCACCCAACCTCATGGATCCTGGAGCCTAGGCCTGCTTGGACTAGAACCTGCCGTGGTGGGGTTGTCATTTTCAGGGGGAGCTGGACCCAGTGGCTGAGAGCTCAGAGGAGGTGGAGGCCACCAATGGGAGCTTCGAGTCCAAACCTGAGTTACTTCAGGAGCACCTTGGTCCTGACCTGCAGAGCCCAGGGAAACGGTAGGACGAATTTAGTGCTTACTTCCTGTTCCAGCAGGAGCCCCTCACAAAGCTGCCCTGCCCACCTCTCTTAGTGTCCATTGCCTCCTCTATCCCCCTCCATCTCTCTCTTCCCTTCCTTTTCCTCCTCAGCTCACTGCCTGCTCACCCTTCCCAGGGACCTTGAGGTCTAGCCCTGAAGCCCCTGCTCAGACTCAGGTGGCTGGGGTTCCTGGGTTGTCTTTCCAGGCCTGAGGGTGATTGTGACATGGGATCCCACGGGGCCATAGCCTTGAAGTCAAAGGTGGAAGGCCACCAGACCCTGCAGGCAGCCCCTCTGGATACCAGCTCTGGTGCCACATCAGTACCCAGTGTGTTTGAGACCCTGCAGAGCAGGCTGAGCTCCCTTGAGGCCACTGTGGCCGCCTGGCGCCACCGCTCCCGAAGCTTTCCAAGGCCATTGGAAAAAGAAGAGAGAGACCAGATGGCATTGGAGCCCTTTGATGGTCAGGAAGAAGCCTGGCCTGAACAGCACGAGGCAGCTCGCCTCAGAGAGAGGAACGCCTGGCTGCGGCTGGCCCTGGGCCGCCATGAGGATGAGCTGGTTTGCACTCAGGCTTCCCTGCAGGATGCCCAGGCAGAGAAGGAGATTCTGCAGAGACAGGTGAGCTGAACAAACACACATTTATTCATTCAACAAACTGATGTGGAGGAATGACAGCCACAGAAGTGACCAAGGAAGACAGCAAAGTGAAAGAGAGGGTCAAAAGGAAGCCAGGCAGGGTGCACCCCATGATCTCAGCACCCCAGAAGCTGAGGAGAGACAGATCTCAATCAGAGGCCACTTGGTCAAGACAAAGGTCATTCTCAGATGTAGACTGAGTTCAAGGCCAGCCTGGGTTAAAGACCTGTGTCAATTTTTCTGTTTGTTTTTTAAAAGTTTCAGAGTACCTCAGTGATAGAGGCTTTGCCTAGAGTGTGTGAGGTCCTGGCGCGCGCGCACACACACACACACACACACACACACACACACACACACACACACACACATCAATCCAGTCTTAGGGTTTCTATTGGTGTGATAAAACACCACCACTAAAAAGCAATTGGGGAGGAAGAGGCTCTTTTCATATTAAAACTCTCAGGCAAGGAGGGACTACCACAGTATGCAGGATGTGGAGGCTGAGCAGGACTGCAGCTGTGCTATGTGTACTGCGAAGCCCCAGAGGGTTCTGGGTTCTGCGGGGAATTGGACCTGCTGGAGGTGTTCCCTTGCGCCATCTGCTGACCGTGGAAGGAACAGCCTGGTGGTGGACCATGACCCTGGTGGTGGGGGAGGGGCGATAACAGTGGGCCCGGGGAAGAGTAAGGTGGTGGTGACCAGAAATGGGCAGATTGTGTGTGATGTTAAACCCAGGTGTTGTGGGACAAGCCTGTCATGCTAAGAACTCTAGAGCCTAAGACAGGAGGATCACAATAGCTTAGACAAGATAGGCAAACGTCTCAAAATAGAAGTAAAGACAGACTGGGCTAGGGTGCTCAGCACTCAGTTTGGAGAGGCTCTTCTCACCAACATAAAAATGAAACTCTCCTTCCTGAGTGTGATGGTGGGAGACTGAGGCAGGAGGATGGCTGGAGCTGGGGAGATCCAGAAAACCCAGGGAAACACTGAGTCTCCTAAAAATTAAAAAGGAAAAAAGTCAAAAAGGCGGGGGCTGGAGAGATAGATGGCTCAGCAGTTAAGAACATTCACTGGTTGTTCTTCCAGAAGCTCACAACTTCCTGTAATTCCAGTTCCCAGCAACCCAACACTCTCACACAACACACATGCAGACCAAACACTAATACACATAAATTAATAAAAATAAATGAATCCTAAACCCCCCATCAGTAGCTGCACACCTCAGGTTCGATGCTGAGTGGTAAGTGTTGAGTGGCAACTGGGACCTGTCTGGTCACGTGGACAGAGCTTGGAGTTGGGTTCCTGCTGTTGATGAGAGCTGCTGTATGGGAAGCCACAGTCTGATCCCCCATCACCTGCAGGTGCTGGAGCTAGAGGATTCCCTGAGGCAGCTGGAGGCCTCCCCGGCTGTCCTCCTCCTCAGAGCGGGGCATACCAACAGCAACTCCAGCAGTTCTGGGGCAGAAGGGGAGCCCTGGGTGCCTCAGGTAAGCCAGAAGTCTTTAGAGCATGTCGTGGTGATGTCCTCTGCTTTTCCAGTGTGAGAGGATGGGGGTAAGCTTCAATTTGTGCTTGATGGGATCCCATAGTGTTGTGTGACAAAACTTTTCCTGGGGAGACACTATACACGTCAACTCATCCCATATAGGGAGCCCATGTTACACAAAAGCACAGACACAGCCAAAGTCCAACTTGGTGGTTACATACAGGATTACGGGTGAAGGGTCACCTACAGGAGCTGAAATGACTCAGAGAGCTGCATCACCAAAGCCCACCCCAGCATGGGTGACAGCTCACAAAGCTGGAAGCCTGGAGCACACTGCACAGCCTGCAAATTGGAGTATGCCATTCCAGTGACTGGTCTAAATCTCTTCAGCACAGCTGGTCTGGTCTCTAGTCTTCTTTGCAGCCAATCAGCTGGTCTCTTAAGAACTTTCCTTACTCTGGCAGGGAGGGACCTAGTGAATCTGCTCAGTTTCAGGGACTTCCTGAAACTGTTTGGAGTTGTTTATCATCCTGCCTAAGGAGCAGGTGGAATGTTTCTATCTCAGAGGAAACTGTTAATACAACACATAGTGTGAAAAAAAACCTAAGCAGAGCCTGGAGAGATGGCTCGTTGGTTAGGTGTGCTAGCTGCTCTCACAGAGGACCAGATCTAATGCCCAGAACCCAAATGGCAGCTCACAATCATTAGTAATTCTAGTTTCAGGGGATCTGACGCCCTCTTCAGGGCTCCACAGCCACCAGGCATGCACATGGTGTACACAGAAACTTGCAGGCAAAACACTCACACACATGAAATAAAAATAAAAGAGAAAAAGCATAAAACACCAGATTGGTTGTCACCCCACAGTCACCAGCTGCTTAGGGGCCTGAGACAGAAGGATCGTGACCAATAAATTTATCAAGACCCTGTCTCCAGATTAAAAAATAATAATAAGCATTGGTGAGATAACACAGCTGGAAAGGGCACCTGCTGCCAAGCCTGGTGATCTGTGCTCAATCCCTGGAATTCCCAGAGTGGAACCAGAGAACTGAGTCCCATAAGTTGTCCTTTGACATCCATTCATGTGTCATAGGCATACATCCCACACACGTGTGCATGCACACACACCAAAAACACAAACCAAAGCTGCAGTGGTGCCCCAGATATATAATATGTTCCAGGGCCCTGCAAAAAGGAAGAATGATGGGTAGTAAATCAAGTCATGTACTCCTGGCAGGACTCCCCCTTGGCTCATCCTCTTCTCCAACCCCTCCAGAGTGACTCTAGCACCCAGATCTTTGGGTGCCATTCCAAACATCGTTCAGCCCCCGAGATGCACCTTATAGAAGATCAGATGGAGCAGCTCCAGGGGTGAGTGGCTGAGTCACAGCTGCTGAGCTTTTAAGGGCATCATGCTTCCCGCTACTGGGTTGTGAGGGGGTGGGGAAGAAACTGGGATCTAGCTGATTGGACCCTCACTCATCTTCCCTCTTGCCTGCCTTTGGAGATAGGAGCATTGAGAAGTTGAAGTGCTTCAATCGCCTCCTGCTGGCTGTGCTCCAGGGCTACAAGGGCCGCTGTGAGAGCCTCAGCATGCAGCTGGGCCAGAGGGAGGCTGAGGCCACAGCCCTGCGCCTGGCCCTGCAATATAGGTCTGTGTCTGCTACCAATGATGGTGGTGGCTGGGGACGAAATGGGGCTGCATCCCAGGATGGCCCTATGCAGAGGGACATGGGGACTTCAGAAAGCACACTGCCTCACCATGAGATCTTGTTCTAACCCATAAACTATGGAGGGTGGGAGCTGTCTTTTTGTGGTTTGTTGCTATATATTTATTTGAGACAAGGTCTCACTGTGTAGCGCCAGCTGGCCTGGAACTTGCTATGTAGCCCAGGCTGGCTTTGAACTCACAGAAATCTGCCTGACTTACTGGGTTGGGGCTGAATGTTGAAACACTCAAATGCCATCCACAGTGAGGATTGTGAGGAGGTATATGGGGTGCTGCTTGCTCTGAGGATGGCTGACTCAGGAGCTGGAGATGAAGCCCCCAAGAGTGACCTGCAGGCTGCTGAGAAGGAGGCAGCTAGGCTGCTGGTGGAGAAGGAGGCAGCTATGGATGGAAAGACACCCCAGCCCAGGTACTTACAGGAAGCATAAGAGCTATGGTGGTCCACGGGGTGGGGTGGGGCATGTCCCAGAGCCTGCTACATATAGGATTTTGATGTCATTGTCACTGTCACTGCCCAGGGAGGTGCTGAGTTCATCATGGCTGGCACCAGGCCTGACTGGAGTGTGTTAGTTACTCAGTGGTGCTTAGTTTGCCTGACACCAGGTGTGGTGACAACATGCCTTTGATCCCAGCACTCAGGAGGCAGAGTTTGAGGAGTTCAAGTCCAGCCTGGTCTACATAGCAAGTTCTAGGCCAGCCTAGACCTTGCCTCATATGTGTGTGTGTGTGTGTGTGTGTGTGTATACATATATATGTGTGTATACACACATATATATATACATATATACATACATACATACATATCTTATACAAAGTACCAATTGCCTTGCATAGATGCACAGACCCTGGTTTCAACCTCTAAAGCAGGGGGGGAAATCAGTGAAGAGAAAAATTATTAATTTTGGTCAATCCATCATGGCAACAGGAAGTGGGAAGCAGAGCTACAGGAAGTGTCCGGGGCATTGGTGAAGCCCTGTGTGGACTTGACAGGGTTAGCAATACAGCTCTAGGTACTGTCCATCACAGTGCTGGTGAGCTTCTGGTTTTGTCTCTGCACTGCCAGTGCAGCCTCAGTGTGCACGGAATTAAGTTCAAAGTCCCCTGGTGGCCTGATTAGCATGTAGGCTCCACCACCTGGCTATGTAACTGAGGGTGATGCTCCTGCCTCCATCTCCTGAGGCTGGGTTGTATATATGGTACCTCACGAATGCAAGCTCTCTATGGACTGAGCAACAAGCACTCTACTGACTGAGCCCCAGCACCTGCCATATTATCTTGCTGGAAGATTGCCCAGCTGGCACAGGACTGTGGTGGCTCCTCGGGCCGTGTCTTGGGAACAGCTGTATAACACCTGTCTCCACCTGTCTCCTATAGCCCAGGGGGCAGCAGTGTTGACAAGCCTACACCACAGGAACTAGCTGCTCAGCTCCATGGCTATGTCCAGCGTCTCCGGGAACGCTGGGCTCTGGTGAAGATCCCTCCACCTCTTGGCCCTGCCACGGCACCCAGGCCCACTATGCCCCACACAGAAGCAACAGTTCAGGCCATTCTGGAGATACAGCCTGGCCCAGCCCTGCCCCGGCTAGAGAAGTCTGAGATCCAGCAGAAGCTGGTGGCTATTCGGGTAGGAATGTGCTGACACTGTCAGAACGTACCCTTGATGATGTCACTGGAGACCAGAGGCAAGCAGGGTTTCCTTGGATGGGCAGCTGGTTTCTTATATGAAAGGGAGTTGGAGTTGAGGTTTTGAGGAATGCATAGGAGTTTCTTCTCCTGACTGGGTTCTCCATAAGATCCTATAAGTTGCCTTTGTATCGCTATGAAGAAATCCCTGACAGGAACAATTTCAGGAAGGAAGATATGTTCCGACTTGTCTGACAGTTCCAAGGTGCAGTCCATCGTGGCAGTCATCAGGTCGTGAGTGTCGGAGGCTGAGGCAGCTGGTCACATTACACCAGTATTTAGAAAGCAGAGAGAAATGTATGCAACCCAGTACCCCAGCCCAGGGACTATAGGTCTCCCCACCCCCGTTACTCTAATTTAGATACTCCCTCACAGGCATGTCCACAGGGTTGGGGTGATTTAAGATCCATCAAGCTGACAACCAAAATTAGCCATTCAAGCTGCTTTTCCTACATCCTCTTCCCACGGGAGATGCAGGGCTTCAGCCAGGGCGATGAGTTCCTGGGGCTTAGGGCAGGGTGGTTCTTCAGCACAGCACTTGCCGAGCACACATGAGAACCCTTGCTCCCCCACCCCTGCTATAAAAGAAGTAGACAGGTGATATACACCTGGAGTCACTGAGACGAGAGAATCGGGACTGCACAGCTCGGCCCTTGGACTGGGCTCCGGAGTGACACCGGAGCTCAGAAATGTATAAGCAGAAATGAGACAGCTCAGTAGTTATGAGTGCAGGCTCTTCTCGAGGGTCGGGGCTCACAGCCATTCAACTGCAGCTCCGGGGGCTCTGATGCCCTCTTCTGGCCTCTTCCAGCACTACACTCGTGTGCAAACCCACTTACACAGGCACTCTAGGCTGGCCTTGAACTCACAGAGCTCCACCTGCCTCTGCCTCAAGTGCGGGGACTAAGGCCTGCTCCGTTCCGCCTGTTGTAAAATAATTTCAAACAGCAAATTAAAAAAGTGAGGTCTGAGAAATTCTAACCGCTTCCACAAGGCCATTTCCCGGCTGTGGCTTTCACAAGAGGAAGGCTATGAGGCAGGTTCCCCGTGGGCACACCTTCTCCCCCCTCCCCGGAACTGACTTTCGGCCCCGCAGGACAGTCTGGCGGACCTGGTGCTGCGCCTGCAGCTGGCACGGCGGGAGAAGCGCGGGCTGGAGCTGCGGGAGGCGGCGCTGCGGGCTCAGGGCCCCGCCCACCTGCTGCTCCTGCAGCAGCTTGGCTGGGCGGGGGCGCCCCTGGCAGGGGGCGGCAAGAC